TTTTCTAAAAGAAAGATAAAATTAGAGAACGTGTGACTAGAAAAAGCAAAACAAAACACAATCAGTTATATTTTGACTTGGTTCTTTGTCTTGGATTCTGATATATAGAAACGATAATCAACAATTTCTTATGATCCTAATTACAATATTTTTTCATTCAAATTTATTATTCTTAAATCCACGAGTATGACTTTTCTCAACAAATGAACTGGTCATCTTACTCTAACACTCTAGGTAGTTTAATCATAAATGGAATTAAGAAAGTTTATTATGCTGCAGATGGGTTTGGATGTTATAAGATACTTAATTATTGAAAGATCAGATGAAGTGCACAGGAATAAAGGAACAAAAAATATATTCATTGCTTTCATCAAGAATTTAATTTTTTTCCCTTATTTTTTGAAGAAAAAGAAAATCTTTTTGAGTGTATCCTTGAAAGCTTGTTTCACTTGCTGGTTCTTTAGACTGTAAATAAAGGGATTTAATAAAGGTGCAACTGAGGTATAGATAACAGCTACACCTTTGGATAAAGTCACTCTGTCTTTTGCTGATGGCTTCATGTAAATGAAGATACAGCTACCATAAGTAAGAGAGACTACAATCATGTGGGAAGAACAAGTGGAAAAAGCTTTTGTTCTCTTCTGAGCAGAAGACATTTTTAGAATAGTCTTGATTATGTATGTATAGGAAAGAATCACTAAAAGAAATGTTATCATAAGTGTTACAACTGCTGAAACAAATGAAATCAGTTCCAGGAAGTGAGTGTCTGTGCAAGAAATCTGCAAGATAGGAGAAGTGTCACACAGGAAATGATCAATTACTTTGGAAGCACAGAATTCCAGTTTCAGTCCCATGACCAGTGGTGGAAAGGTAATCAGAAAGCCAGCTGTCCATGAACTGACTACAAGATAATAACACACTTTGCTGCTCATAATGGTGGAGTAATGCAGAGGTTTACAGATGGCTACGTAACGGTCATAAGACATGGCAGCCAGAAGGTAAAACTCTGTAACTCCTAACAAGAGAAAAAAGAATAATTGAGATGCACAACCATTGTAGGAAATGACTTTGTTTTTAGTCGCAATGCTTGTCAGGAATCTAGGAATACACACTGTGGTCAATGAGATTTCCAAGAAGGAGAAATTTCGGAGAAAGAAATACATTGGAGTCTTGAGGTGAGGATCCAGCAGGGTAAGGAGGATGATGGATAAGTTCCCCATAACACTCAAAATATAGTTGAAAAAGAGGAATAAAAAAATCATAATTTGCAGGAGTGGGTCATCTGTCAGTCCCAGGAGAATGAACTCTATCTGTCTTGACTGGTTCTTCATTTCAGTTTTGAATCCTGTTAAATTGGCATTGATAACTCCACAAGCAGAAATAGCAGTTTTGAAAGCTATGATCAGGAAAAAATATGATATCCAGAAAAGTAAACAAGTATAAATATTCATTGCAGTTTGAAAAGACAGAAGATACATAAAATTATAGCATATATCAACATAAGCATAAATTCTAATAAAATCTAGACAAGCTTGCATATTTCAAATTGCAGTACATGTTCAATAATTTTTATTTTATGAAAAAACTTTTTAAATCTATAAAATATTTGGAAGTATTAGCAGTTATTAGTTTTCCCTGTGTTTGAAATTTTGCAATATATGTCATTAATTCTTTAGCTCCAACTCAGTACTGCACCATTACTCTGCTCTTCTAACATCTTTTCTTTAATTATTTTTTTTTCTGGTTCTAAATCATCACTGTTCTCATAATCTATTGTATTTAAACTCATAAGTTTGAAATACATTCAAGACATACTTAGTAATTTTCCAAGACTAGACAAATGGGAGAAAAACTAGCTATAGGAAAAGCAAAACAAAACACAATCAGTTATTTTTTGACTTGTTTCTTTGTCTTCGAGTCAGATAATTTATAAAATCTTAATTATTTTCCACTTTTTGTGCAGGCCACAATAAATAATTTTATCTTCTTAGTCTAAGTGTGAAATGACTTTCCTAAGTAGCAATAAATAACTTAATGAAATTCTTCTGTTAATGAAACACAAATATAGAAATGATACTCAACAGTTACTTACGATCCTAATTATAATATTTTTGGCATTCAACTTTATTATTCTTAAATCCATGAGATGGCTTTTCTCTACAAATGAACTGGCCCACCATTTACAAAATTTCTGATAGGATACATTATGTTCAGTAGACTGCTGTATATATATTTGTGGTGGAAAAGAGAACTTTTCTCTTTATTTGAAAGAAGATGTTGAAGTGCTATCCAAACATCCATCTATTTAATGACAGAGTTAATTTACAGGTCCCATATTGTATTTAAATCAGGGTATTTAAAAAATACTTACCTTATTCATTTGAAAATTGTTCCATTAATTATTAATGTATGCTTCTCACAGAACAAAATAGTTTTTGCTGAATTTCATTATATATATATCCCTGCTTCTATTTTAAAATGGCATTTTTCCCAATATTTTATATGTAGTTTTCCTTTTCATTTCCATTAGGCTCTAGAAAAGAGAGTGAGAGTGAGAGCAAGGAAGAGATTGATGACAGAATCAAAGTACTGATTTGGGTAAATCTCAAAATCAGAATTCAGTGATTGTACCATGTTCTCTTTTATTCCTTGACTGCTGAAAAGATCAAAACCTGTGTGATGATGAGGTTTATTTATCAGATATGTGTAACTGCACTTCCATGTCTTTAACCAGTATTTTTCTACATTCAGTAGAAGACAACTCTCAATCAATCAATTTTTGCTAACATCTTGTGTCTGGACAAAAAAGTCTTACGATGATTTCTCAAAAATCTGCAAAATAAGCACTATAATTATGTTGCAAAAGTTATGGTATTACAGTTTATATCAATCCTTGTCTATTCAGGCACCTATATAAAGATAGAACATATATGATGATTTGACTGTCAATGGTAATCATTGCACTTGTAGAAATGCCTTCACCTATGATCTAGGTCTTTTCGCCAAATTACAAATGACTTACCGTATGCAGGATATATTGATATCCTTCCTCCTTTAAGGAAATAGGATATTAAGAAAAGTCAATTTGTGAATGATGAATATTATCACTTTTATATTATTAAAAATCATTCAATTATGTAAAAAAAAAAAAAAAACATTAAATCCAAATCTTTTCATGAGAAAGATTCCAAACATAGGAACAACTTGAAAATATTTCTATCTGCTAATATTTCCCAATTTCACATACACTACAAAAAATCACAAGACCCAAATATTACACAAAATCCAAATAGAATATTCTTTCTGATTGCTAGATAGAATTTTCCTGGCTTTGTTACTTTAATATTTAAACTTCAATGAAAATGATTTGCTAAGAGAAGAGCATTGTAAAAAAGTGTTCAGATTAAAGGAACCCATTTTCTTCTTTTTTCATTAACAAAGAATGACTATGTTTATAATGTGCACCAACAGAAGCTACAGTTTTATCTGTTTCCTTATAAGACACTCAAAGGGATTAATTGAAATAAAAAGAAGAAAGAAAATGAAATCTCCTGTGGAGACTGGGGTTCAGGACCTACCAATTACATTAACAAAACAAAACAAAACAGACTGCAAATTGCTTTAAATACAAAGCTAAGTGAAAATTCTCCCAAAAGATAACAAGAAGTAATTTAAACTCCATATAAGATACCAAGATGTTGATATTCCATTCCCCAGAGGCTATATAAGTAATTCAAATGGTCAGAGACTTTATCTCAAATAGGAACCTTTCTCTTGCCACCATCAGGCAATATATTAAGATTCTGCGAACTTGATTATTGCATATGAGAACACGTAAGAAAAAGCAGTTAAATGGTTCCTATTTATTATTGTTTCTGTTCTGAAACAATCTCAGACTTAAAGACTTAAAAAAACATTTCAACTACAGAGCACAAGTTTTTCTTTCCCCTTAATCATTTCTTGTTCAATTTCTTGTGCAATACTGTGGTGTTCATTCAGTATAAATATAAATATATATATATATATATATATATATATATATATATATATATATATTCTACTATACAATACAATGAAAGTATTGATAATAATTATTAATAATTATTAGGACTGTGGGACACTAACACTGATACATTATTAACATCCCATCCTCCAATGCCATTCAACTTTTACTTATTTATAAAAAAAATAAGTAAGTAGTTCAGAATTATATGCTCAGTTAATTGCCATGACTATTTATTCCTGTTGTTGTTGGGTGCCATTGGGTCTGCCTAGTCCTGCAGCATCCTCACAATCTTTGCTATGGTTGAGCCAGTCATTGCAGTCACTGTGTCAATCCATCTCATTGAGAGTCTTCTCCTTTTTTGCTGACTCTATACTTTACCAAGGAGCTCTGGCAGCGTAGTGCCTAAGGCATTTGACTGCTAACCAGAAGGCTGGCAGTTCATAGCATCAGCCACTCCTCAGAAGGAAGATGATCAATCTACTTCTGTAGTGATACTGCCTTGGAAGCCTAAGGAGGGGTCGCTATGAGTCGGATCCAACTCCACAGCTCATAACAACAACATACCTTACCAAGCATGATAACTTTCCAGGAACTTGTCTCTTCTAAATATATGACAAAATAATGAGAGATGAAGTCCAGTCATTCTTGCTTTAAAAAGTATTCGGCCTGTACTTTTTCCAAGACAGATGTGTCCATTCTTCTAGTGTCTATGATACATTTAATATTGCTCACCAACACCACAACTCAAATGTATATCATTTAAAATTTTTTTTGTAGTCTTCCTTGTTCATTGTTCAGTTTTCACACGTATATCAGCTGATTGGAAATACCATGGCTTTGGTCAGATGTACCTTAGTTTTCAAGGGCACCTTAGTTACATATTTGCTCTTTAACACTTTAAAAAGGTGTTTTTCCAAGTGTAATATGTAGTCTGATTTCTGCTGCTTCCAAAGGTGTTGACTGTGGATCATGCTGATCTCCTCGGTCTGTTGGTTCTGCTTCCTCTTCTGCTGCGTTTCTCTGCTGCTGGCTCTCTGCCGTCTCTCCATTTTCATTCTGCCGTCTCTCTGCCATCAGAGTACAGGGATACAGAATCCAAGGACCCACTCCACTTCCAGTTCTTCTCTCTTGATGGCAGAGAGCCTCCCTTTTTCTACTCTGAGGTCATTCATTCTGTGCCTAGTTGAATGGCAAAAGTGTGTAATCCCCAAACCAGTGTTCAACACACATTATTAGCATAAACCCACATTCACAAGCATGCCATATACTTTATTCCCATTATCAGCAAGCTATCCAATCCCCTTGGTGGACCACAACTACTTTATATATGCATAGTCCCACCCAGTCATATTGTGGGAATAATAAAGATCAGGCTAGAAGAGCCATATTAAGTAATTTACTGCATCACAGTCTGAAAATTTTCATGTGTAAGTCCTTCACATCCCAGGTTATACTTATTCCCAGGTATTTTATTGTCTTAGATGTTATTGTAAATAAAATTGTTACCCTAATTTCCCTCTCATATGTTTCATGGCTGCAGAAAACTTCAACAACTTCATAACTAAAAGACAACTAACCTAATCATAAAATGGGAAAAGGACTTGAACAGTCATCTCACCAACAAGAACATTCAAATGGCTAGCTACTACATGGAAAGATGTGCAATGTCATTAGCCATCAGAGAGATGCAAATCTAAACCACAATGATGGCTAAGAAAGAAAGAAAGGAAAGAAAAGAAAAAATAAATGTCAGCTAGGACTTGGTGAATTGGTATACTTATCTACTTCAGGGGGAAAGGCAAAATGGTACACCTTCAGTATAGATTACACCTTAACATAAAGAAAAATAAAATCCTCAAAACTGGACCAGTAAGCATCATCATCATGAATGGCAAAAAAATTGAGGTAGTCAAGGATTTGATTTTACTTGGATTCACAATCAATGCTCTTGGAAGCTTCAGTCAAAAAATCAAATAATGCAGTACATTGGGCAAATCTACTGCAAAAGACCTCTTGAAACTTTTAAAGAGCAAAAATGTCACTTTGAGGACAAAGGTGTGCCTGACCCAAGTCTTGGTATTTTCAAACCCTTCTATTCATACGAGAACTGGACAATGAATAAGGAAGAGAGAAGAAATATTGATGTCTTTGAATTATAGTTTTGGCAAGGGACAAAGAATATACAATGATCTACCAGAAGAATGAACTAATCTGTCTCAAAACAAGCACAGTCAGAATTCTCCTTAGAATTGCAAATGATGAGACTTCATCTCATGTACTATGAACAAGTTATCTGGAGGGACCAGTCCCTACAGACGGATATCA